GTCGCTGTCCGCCGTCATTTTCCAATGCAGCAGCGACCATGACAGGCATCGCGGCTGCTTCTTTCTTCTCCAACGCCTGCAAGTTCGGGGGCTGCGGACTCCACTTCGACTCTCTGTCTGAGCTCATCGTTCACATCGAGGACAACCACATCGGTAAGAGGCGGTATCCGCCGAGCAGCTGCCCCTCCGCCTGCAGCGGCCGAGGTTTGAGGTTAGCAACAGGGGCTAAGCTAGGTTGTTAGCAGCTCCACTTCCTGCGTCCTGACAACCCTGTTGCTAGGTGTGGTGGCTGTGGTTAATGAGCCGCAGCAGTACGGGCTCAGCCCGGGCGCTTTTTGACTGTTTCCGTTACACTCCCCCGGCAGCCGCTGAAGCAGAACAGCGCACTGACCGCCGCAGGTGAGAGCTACGGGTTGCGTCTTTACGCACAGGCGACATTAGTGCAGCGTGAGGCCCTTCGCTCACAGAGATGAGTTCATTGCGTTGTCACTAAAGTTTGTGTGCGCGAGACAGGTAGATGGATAGACAGTGAGTGATCAGACGATGACGTAATCAGCAGAGCAACTCAGACAATAACAAGTTGTTACTGTTTCCTTGTTTCTCTCGTGTGAGCTGGTAGATTATGAGATGGAAACCTGTAACTTTTTAAGTTGTTGTTGTTAGTCATTGTAAGGGTAAATTCACAAGAACATAAATATAATATTTCGTGATTAGTTGGATATAGTGTTCTGTGTGCCTGATGCACAAAAAGTCAAAGGTCAATTACATTTTACATGTACATACATGTAGTTAATTAAGGATGTAGATGATTATGCTGCTGCATATTTTAAAAGTAGAAACGTCAAGTACAGTTTCTTCATCATTATGATCTTTATGCCTGAAATAATTAATAAAACATAATAATAATGAATATATAATAATATAATATAATCATAGAACATACAGTATGTGAATTGATGGAATACATCAACAGTGAATTGTGCACTTCACCCTAATTTATTTATGAATATGTAGTATTAATACCATTAGAAGATCTATGGATTTTATGCTTCTAATAGAAGTGACGTCAACTAGGTTTGCAGTTCATGGTATACAGGTCGATAACACACGGTTCACGACCCCTAGGGTTCCTCAGAAGTACTGCAGTGGTCATGGAATTTTGGGGGCTTTATAAGACGATTTTTAATATATTTCAGAATATTTTTACCCTAATTTTTCACAAATTTTAATATCTTTATTTTATATTTAAACAATGTATCTTTATTCATTAAAGACACCTAAAGGCCAAACCTTATTTAGATTTTCCACATTTTTGTTCAAAACATAGGTCTCAGTTTCGGTGCTTGATTGGCATACAATCTAGAGACTGTGTTGATGATGGATGGGTGTCATTTGACAGAGTATGTTTATGAATGGAAAATTAGAAATAATAATTAATTAATAATTAGTATCACAAAATTCCAAGGTGTTTTTATAAAGCACACTAGGCCCACAGTTGTATACATTGTACTATATAAAAAAGTTTAAAAAAATAAATTGAATGCAGACAGTATAGTATGGATCACACATGTCAAACTCAGGCCCGGGGGCCAAATCTGGCCCGGAGTGTAATTATATTTGGCCCACAAGATCATATCAAACGTGTACTAGAGTTGGCCTTCCATTATATATCCCGTATATATAGGCAGGATTTGTAGTATTAGCGGTGTATGTGCTATGTCATAGTCGTCAATTTTTTAATAAATATTACGTTTGGGCCGCGACCTCTTCCCAGTTTTTAATTTTGGCCCACTGTGAATATGAGTTTGACACCCCTGCTTTAGATGAAAATCTTCCCAGTTCGTCCATGTGTCTTGAACCAGTTGTTATCAGCTGATGACACATCTGTCATCATTGTTGTTGTTTGTTGCCTGACTGGTTTTAATGCCCTCTTCTCTCAGATTTGGTGCCGTGCATGTGTCTGAGGTGTAAGCCGTTGAAAAAAAAAAATGCCAGTGAATTACTTATTGGGGAATAATGAGCCAATTAGCTGGCTGAGGGGTGGAAAAAACTCAGCTGGTCCCCTCCTCGCTCCGCTCTCCTGTGCCCACTCTGAGGAGTGTGAAATGTTGCTCACTGTGCCAAGTGCCTGTGAAGCGTAATTACAGACAGAGCTTGATTTGGCCTGTCTTCCTCCTCATCTGGTGGCCTGCTGCTGCTTTCAGCATGCTCTCCTTTATAATTAGGGCCCTGGAAAACAAGCTCGCATTCTTGTCCCTGTTTTCCCCCTGCCCCAGCTTGCTGTTTGGGGCTGTGAACAAGAGGTGGCGCTGCTCTGCTGTTGCCTTTGTAAACTGGTGCGCACTGTAAAACACCCCAGTTGATATGAGCGTGTTCAGTCATATCAGGTGGTCACTGTAGATATAGTTGACAGGGTTTGTGTATTGAAGCCCATTTGCACATTAATATTTAATGTTGCTATGTTATCATGTATTGTTGCTATGCTAAATGATAAGGTTGGTTTACTTTGGTAATATTAGTATATTTTATTGGTATATAAGTACTGTATATGTATATGTAAGTATAAATATCCAGGGTATCCAATACGTAAATCAGAATCTACCAGTAGATCACAAACGGAGAGATTTTAAATAAAACTTTAAACCTCAAAGTATAGATGTCATACTATTTTTAGATTAAATCTCTAGTACTCCAGTAGTAACTTTACTGAAGTACTGGATCATATTGTTCTCAAATATCTCAAATATCTTAAAATATCATGTGTATATAAAATATATTCTGTTAATATGAGACAACATATATTTAGCCTGGTTATTCGAAAAAAGTGTGGACGTCCCAGATATACACGGTACGTATAATATAGTGTTAGAAATCCATCGATGACTAGATAAGTCTTAACTTCTGTTTTTAACAAAAACAAGCAGTAACTCAACAGTCTGTTGGTCCACCTCAGATGGGCTGGGTCCACAGGAAGTGACAGTGAATCTGCTGAAATGGACAAATTACTTCTTTATTTTTTTGCTCCTAGTGTCTTAGAAAGTATGGCTCACCTCTGGACTGTGTGAAGTGACAGTAGACCTGAGCTCATGTAGTTAAGTAACAGTATTGGGGATAGTAATGCAGTACATGCACATTCAGCAGTGGTTTCCATCCACACGCACACAATTTTTTGATTTTTTGAGTTCTTTGATAAAATTATTACCTGTATATGCTAACAGGCCAAGACTTTGTAGTATTAGTACTGACCAGCATTATTTTTACACTGACAGGACATTAGTATCTGGTTTGTGGCTAAGTCTTTTTTTAAAGAACATTGGAGGCTATCATTGTTACATTTCATCGACAATAATAAAAATTAGAATGTAAAATTTCAAGTCCTGTATTTGTTAAAATTGAGCTATAATAAATCTATCAAATTGCCAAATTCTTGAGATGATAAATTTAGTTGTTTTGGGGTTTTTTCTCAATTGGGAAGAAGAGCAACAATTTTATTGACGTTTTTGCAAATAAAGTTTGACAAAAAAATTGTTTATATGAGTGTTAGATAATAAGATTTTTTTTTTTACTTTTACTTTATATATGTCACTGTATTGTACAATGATGTAATGTCTAATACATGAAAAGGATGTACATTTCCCGTGTAACCTCAGGAATAATTGGATTTATATTATTACTTATATTAATGGTAAAAAGTACAAACAAGTACTGTAGTATTTACACAGCGTGCAGTCTGTTCCTAGTTGTTGTGTGGAGGAGGTGAAAGTCTTTGTCCAGTTTTGTCTTTTGTTTGGTCCACATTCTTTACTCAGCCACTTCCTCCACACTGGTGAGTTTGGACCTAACCACAGCCCCAGCCGCTACAACGCACTCATTTACCAAACAAACTAAATAGTCCCAGAACTTGTAATTCAATTTGGGGTTTTCTGCAATATTTCAGACGTTTGAGAAAAAAAGCTAAAAGAGTTCTGGGTGGTCTACTCTGTTTTTTGTTTTTTTTCTTCTTTTTATTTTCTTGGACATCAGTGAATTTAAAGGATAAGCACAAAAACACACCACAGTTGGAATAATAATAAAAACACAGTCTAACTCCTCAGTCTGGGCTGGTGGACCTCCTCAGTGGTCCGCGCTCTGGAACATTCTTGTGTGTTTACCATCACACATGCTGCTACTGAAACGTCGTCTCTGACACCGAGCCTCGTGTTTGTGCACGTATGTGACTCACCTCTGTAACAATCACTCTGTTTGTTGCTTTTCCTCAATGAAGGCATTTTTTTTTTTTAGGATTTTTTTTTTTTCGGAGTACACCCCCCAGAATCTGTGGGGAAGTAATAAATTTGGGAACCAGTTCTGGTTTCCTGGTCTGTGTGCACCTGGTGGGCCTAATTACATTTCCCTGTTCTCTGACACCAGCACTCCTGTTCCTGTGTGGTGGTGACGAGCAGCTGGAGGAGAGAAACAAATCACTGTCAAATGCTCCTCTGTGCTGTGATTTCTCTCAGCAAAATGCTGCGTTTTTAACTGCTGGTCTTCAGTATTATGGTTATATCTCAGAAACTCTAGGATTTAACTTTAACTAATAATTATTTCCAATTAAATTCTGTGTAATAATATTAGTCTCAATTCCTTTTCTTTCACAATCAGTAAAAATTGTATTTTTACTGAGTGCGATACTGATACTGATTTTACTGAATATATAATATTTTTATTTTTTTTATTTTTCTAAATAGTCTTCTCCAAAACCTTTGTTGTTAAGGAATGCTATTTAAAAATTCAAAATTATTCTAGAGAGAAACGTGTGCTGAAATAGTAGATAAACAAGTGTAAGTCTATGTAATAATTTGCATGAAAAACCCCAAACTTAAGTAAAGAACAGCTTAGAGTTAGCTTGAAATCTCTTTAAAGGTGCACTAAAAGTTAGCAATTGCTAACAAAAATTAGCCAAGAAAAAGCAAGAATTTTTGGGTAATTTCCTCTCATTAGAAACTAACACCTCAGCGTTCAGACATGGTGGACATGAAGTCATCAGGTGGTTGAATATATAAACTGACGCCTCTGCAAACATGTACAATCAGCAGCAGTGGCTGCATCTACCTGCCTCTGTAGATCTGTGTGTACACATTACTCTGTGTGTGTGTGTGTGTGTGTGTGTGTGTGTATTTTAGGTGGCTGTCTGTGCCTAATGTATTTACTATAGATCACTTTAACTGCCCCGTGTGTTTTCTTCAGTAACCTGCGGAGGCAGCGTACACATGGAGCTTGACTCTGTTTCATTTCCTACTCAGAGGTCACGTCGTAATGAATTACCTGTGCCACCACTCCTGCTAATGTCCCCCGCTGCTCACAGCCGCCATAAACATGTCACCATAATGCTCAGCCACTCGGCTCTATCCTGCAGCGCATTTGGCCGCAAGGGTGGATGGCTGAGCCAGACGCTGTTGGTAATGAGAGAGAGAGAGCTGAGCGTGAGAGAGAGGGTCATGGAGGGCGTTAGGAGAAAGGACGGCAGGCGTCACTTCCCCTCTTTGCCTCAGGAAGGTTGGTTGTGTGATCATCTTCTGGTTTCCTCACGAGGACCATCAGAGGGAACACTAATGAGAACATGTGAAGGCATCATGTTTTCTGTGCTCATGCAAACTGCAGATGCTGCCAAACTCATGACCTAAGCAAACAACTTTGTCATCGCTCTGTCCGATGCTGTGATGACTGAAGACCACGACGTGGTGAGACAATTTAATGTAGAGCAGAAATGGAGCGTCTGCTGTGACTCAGTTTCTGACAAAAAAACAACAAAATTTAACTCCTGACAAAACAGTATCAATTAGTAAATGTAAGTCAGATGTAAGTCATCAACAAAAAGCTAACGTAAAATTAGATTACTCCAGAGATAAATGTTGGCCAACGTTCAACCAAAATTCACCCCCAAAAATGAAAGAAAAACCAAACAAAGGTGAGCTAATAAATAGCTAGTTTTAAAAATACAGCACTGTGGTGGAAGTAAGCAACATTTAGCTAAGTGTAGCCTTAGGCTGAGCTAAACATAACTCAAAAAATGTGCCAAGAAAATCCAGCTATTCCTTCTTGCCAAAATGAAAAGCTTTACCAAAACAAAGAACCACAGCTGTTTCTGCTGCCAAACGTAATAGCTGAGAATAGCCAGACTTAGCCAAAAGAAATAGCTGAAATGTTAGCCAAGGGATAATTAGAATTCACGCAGACATAGCTTGTTAGCAAACAAAAACAATATTTTCCCAAATTGCCAAAACACAACTAAATGTGTCTCAAAATGATTCATGGGCCAAAAATAAAACAAAAATAGCCAATAATTGGTTAGAATTTGATCTCAGATGTACAAACCCTGGTCCACGTCCAATCAGTTAGCAAGTTTCTGTGGTTTCCGAATGATTGGCCTCGCTTTGTTTGGAAATAAATTAGAAAAAGTCAGGAACATCTAATGGGAGACCACCAACATAGACCACCTGAGTGGTCTGATTATAGGGGTTCCATCTCTACCTAAGGCGCCTTCGCCCTGGTCCCTGACTGCTGGTGGCCCCAGAAGAATAGCAGAGGCTGTGGGGAGCTGGGCCCTGCAGGCCGCCCTTCTCCTCAGTCTCCTCAGGGCTGAGGTGTGTGTGATTTACAGTGTGTGGGAACAGACTGATCCAATGTTGCTGTTTGAGCGGTCTGCTCACAGGCCTGCGCCCCGCTCCTGGAGACTCATTAAGGATCTGAGGACGGGTTTCTGCTGCACTCACTCACACACATAACAGACCACAGAGCCCAGAATAGTCGCGTCTGACAGGAGAATATGTCGTTCCTGGGCTCTGTGTTTCTGTGGCTGAGCGCAGAGGTGTTCTTCTCACCGAGGATAAATCCTCGCTTAATGAAACACTTGCTCACGAGCGGGGCCTTCAGAGGAACCTCCTGAGACACAGGCACCGAGGATTAGGAGAGTCTTAGAGAACATTCTAGAGCACTCTGATATTTATCGTCAACCTGCAGGTTTGACTTTTACCACTGAGGGGACGCTGTCCTGTTCTCCAGGCAGGCTGTGTCACAGCCATTTGTCCTTCAAGGTCCTTCAAGGGTCATTTGTGTTTCTGACTTGGACCCTGTCTGTAGTTTGACTCATAGATGAGTAAACATTTTGGCTTTATTAAGGTTAGAAAGACAGTGATTGGTTGAGAAAGGCACCAGGCCACGAGCTTAATATTTGTCAGAGTTTTTTAGGACAGACACCTTGGTGATCGGACAGTCAAATAAAACCAAATAAACATGTGTCATATCATTTAACGTTTATTTTGGAATCCTGATTGGCTGGTTCAGTTGACAGGATGAGTTGATAATCATTGCCCTATAATCAACAAAAAAGACACAAATTTTTTTTTTTTGTGGGCTGGACAAAAATGACCCAGAGCCTGGTACAGGTATTGAAGCCACTTGTTGGTGCATGAACATAAAGGCAGTGTTTTGAAATGTTTGTCTGTGTTTTTTGTTTGTTTTCAGGGTTTGTAAACAAAACATGTAGATTCCCCCATCCCCAGCAGGTGGTGCTATAATTTGACTAGCTACTGGTAGATTAACTTTTGATAAGAAAAATCTGTCCAAAACTGTTGAAAAAAATAAAGCCTTGAGAACTAGTGAGCGCCGCTGGAACAACATGTTGAAACAACATCCAAGACTTTATAAAAATCTTTTGTTAAACATTTGTTCCTGAATGACATCAGAGTTCTGCCTCCATAACAGTAAAAAGTTCAAATCCCATCCTGGAGGGAAACGAGTGCCAAATGGCACATGTTTTGTCCAACATAAAATGTAACAGGAACTCTCCCCACCCCCCTTTTTTGTTTTTATGTTCACGACAAACAAACAAACAAACAAAGATGTGCCAAATCTCCAAAAATAAATGGAAGGACGTGCCAAATCTCCAAAAATAAATGGAAGTAATAACAAGGATATTTTCAAGGATTTTTGAGGTGTTTTTTTTCTAACAAAAACAGTAGTGAGACGTTCAACTCCTCAATCACTGCAGCTACTTTTAAATGAGAATAATTGGATACTGAGGTAAGGGTTTTTTTTTTCTTCTTCTTGCTGAATAGACAAAAGCTTTTCAAAGCTTCCTTGTAGTCACGGTGTTATGGAATAGCATCATTTAGATGAAATGTCACAGGGAGCCTGAGGTGCAGGAGCCTGTGGATGGAAAGAAGCGCTGGCTGCTACCACTTGGGGGTAGCCGCCCTTCACAGCTCGGGCAGATGCAGACAGGGGGGGCCCGGCTGGGAA